AAAAAGATAGTTTATTTTTAAAAAGAAGAAATTAGCATTTTGCGAATCTGTGAATATATCAATAGAAGTATTAGTAATATGATATAAATAGTAAAAAAAACTGCTACAGTTTGAAACTTCTATAATAAAAACTTAGAAAAACATTAATAAAATTTAATTTTATGATTAGGTTTAATAAAAATGAATTGATTTATAAAAAATATTTTTTTTTCAATTTTAAAAATTATATAAGCAGTATATAATATATATATAAGCTAATCAGAAACTAGAATTTAAAAATCATATAAAATAATTTATTTTATTTTATTATTTCATTATTAATTGCATTATATACATATAATGAGACTTATATTTTTTAGCTGTAAACTCTATCATTTTTTTTTATAATTATTTACATATTACCATAATTTTTGTATATATCTTCAAATTATAACTAAAGAAATTGAATCTAATTCTTTAATAACAATTTATTATAATTTAACTCATATGTAATTGTAATATTCTCATGTATATATTTTTGTTGCATTTAATATATTTCTATATAATTCAATCATAATAATATTTAAAATAAAATATATAAATAATAAAAGAATCATTCTCATAAATTTATTTTTTTCAATTTCAGTTTTTATAATTAATTTTGGATAAATTAACTTAATATAATTCTATTAATATTAAAGATATTAAAATTTTAATCTAAAATTCTTAAAGAGCAGATTATAGTTTATTTATTTATAGATTAAATTTTAATTTTATATAATTAACTCTTATTATAATGAACTCTATGTCCTAGACCTCAACTTTGTTATAAGATTATAGTGAAGATTTTAAGAGATTTAATTAGCCAATTCATTATAATAAGAGTATTTTTATTATATTTATTTAAAAAATTTATTATATCAAGAGTTTGCTATATCAAGTGTTGATTGTATATAATAAAAAATTTTTTTTGCATTTTAAATCTGTTATATTTTTTATTATAATATATATTATTTATAAAGATAAGGGTTAATACTTGTGTTATTAAAGAATTAATTATGATATAATTAACGTTAAAGTACTATTTAACTAACAAATTATAACTTAAGAATGTGTTTTAGATTCAATATAATAAAGGATTATAATAAATACACTAAAGTATAATAAAATAATTTTACTTTAATTTATATCAGAGAAGTTTAGATAATAATCAGTATTATTAGAAACTATAAAAATCTGATTAAAATGATTAAAAAAGAGAAAAATAATAAACTGAAAGAAAAATGAAAGAGTTTTAAAAGATTAAGAATATAAATTAATATAGCAACATTAACTTTATTATAAGCTTTTAATATATCTTAAAAAAGGATCTAAAGTTATTGTATTTATAAGAAAATCTATCATATTTAATATTATTAAGAATATATATTAGTTCAAAAATTGAACAAATGATAAATTAGCAAAATTGTATTCTTTTAAAATAGATTCTTTAGACAAAATATCTAATAACCTTTTATTAATTAGTTTAACTACTGCTTTATAAGAATACTCTAATAAAGTGATAAGACAAGTATTATTTAAGTTATATTTCTATAGTTTTAGTTTAAAATTAGATAAACAAGTCAAGTTCTATCAGTTTAACATATAGGATAGTTTGAGATATACATAAATAAATATCTAAAAGACATATTTTATTTTTAGACCTAAATATTTTAACATTTTATTTGAAATTTTTAAGAAATCTGAAGCCTTGTCATCAGATAATATTTAAAGTAATCTGTTCCATTTATCTTTACTTAAGGGATCTATGAGATTATTATAAATTTAAAAATTGATTGAGTTGAAAAGCTCATACTATTATTTCCAATCTTCAAGAAATAATACAAAATGATGTCTAGTATTAATTGTTTATTGAAAATGTCTATTAATTTCATATTTAATATTTTAGTTAAAATGAATAAATCAAGATCATCAGGTAAGTTCTCAAAGTATCTGTCAAAAACTATTATTTATCTCCATTTATTCAAGATGGAATTATATATTTTATATTGATCATTATGAAAATTATTATATTGAAGTTTAAGAGTAACTTTAATTTGTTTGAATTTATATTTATTTTCTTTTAATTTGATAATCGCAGGTCAAATAAAAAAATATCAGGTGATCAAGCTTCAAACAAATATCAAAATAAAACTAAAAAATAATATTTGCTGAAACTTAATTTAGCTATATCAGGTAAATTTTGGATAGCTATTATCATATGATATTTAGCTATAAGACCTGATATCTACAAAGAAAAATTAGACAAGTTCTAAGATTTTATCAGATCACCTAATAAGTCTTATATTTTGAAATTTTATAAGACTATTGAGTGACCTGATGTATTACTCATAATGTGTATTTTTTTTTAAAAAATTCAATTAAAAATAAAAAAATAAAGTTTTCAATTTTTTGCTTTTTAATTTTAGAAATATGTTTCCTTATAATATAAAATATAATTTGTTAAAATCATATAAAATAAATAAATAAAAAAATCACAAATTCAATTTTTTAGTGATGTATATTCTTGATGATCTCACAATTATGCTTAAACCATATCAGTAAATTATCTTATAATGATTTAATCTGAAAATGTAAAGCAATTATGTCATTTTATACTCATTATAAGATAAATGTAATAATAATAATATGTAACACAAAAAAATGTAATAATAAAAGTAAGAAAAAAAATTCTCACATATATAATGTGAAATTTTCTGTTTATTAAAATAACTGATATATATTTTCTTAGATTTTTTTATCCTATTTTGAAGCATTCTGAAACAAATTAACATAAGATATTATATATAAGAATGATACAATTCCTTTCCATTTCATAAAATTCTGATCTTTATAACTCAATATTACAAAATCTATCATTATTATCTACTTTACAATGAAATCTTATCTTGTAGTTTTCGGCTGGCTTATACTATCTTATAAAAGTTAAATAGTGTATCCCAGAATCTCCCAATAACCAAATGGTATATTTAAAAAAAAATTGGATTTGATCGAAATATATATTAAAAGTATTATTACTTAAAATAAAGCATGTAAAATCTTTGCTGATTTTACATGTTAAGAAGACAACATTAATCTAAATACTTCTATTTCAATTTTTAATCAGCTAAATTGATTGATTATTAGAAGAACAGGAATAGATTTATTTAAAATATTATGAAGATGTAATAGTATGACAAAATTTTTATTGTATGTATTACAATAAAAATCTGTCAATAAAAGCAAAATATCTTGTTATAACAATATACCTTTTTTTGATAGACTTAAAAAAGAATTAAGAAATAGTTCAATACTGAAAGCTGCTCCTTCTTCTATATTTATTAATAATAAACAGAATGTCTGATAGTCTTCATCAGTATATAGAAAAAGACTTTTAACTGAATCATTAGACTTTAATATTTTAAGACCCTCTTAAAGGTATTGATTTTGATCAGTGTGAGATATTAATTTATCCAAAACAATATTATTTTGTATAATTTTTACAAGTTCTTGTTAAATATTTCTTTGATTATTATGAAATAATTCTAAAATATGTTTAAAATATTATTAATAAATTCTGGTAGATTCTTTGATATTCTAGAAATTATCTAATAAGCCATTTATTTATTCTATTGAGTAATACCAAAATGTATATAAGGGTTGTAATTCAAGAAACATTTATATAAATGTATATATAAATGCAAATTAAGAAATATTTTTAATACTGTAAGTTTTTTTAATTTCTTTGATCATTGTTACTAAAAATTAGTGAGCTTCTATAAGATTTTTTTTAATATTATCCTACATACCAAAATCTTACAGACATGAATAAAATTTGCTAAAATTCTTTGATCAGACTCTTTTAAGAGGTCTCACATAATAGATGTTGAATATATTAATATAAAATTTTTCATTGATCTGTGAAAAACCTAAAAAATCTTCTTCTGTTGATATTTTGTTTGAAAGTCTACTGATATCTATAGATACTTGAATTTGATCTGCCCCTTTTGCATAAGTAATAGATTTTCTGGTTTTAACTTTCTTTCTTTAATCCATAACCTTATTATAATCCATTAGCAATTTCTAAAAGGCAATGCATAGAATCTATGACAAGAAAGTATACTAGATTAAAATAAGGTAATTTATATATTTTAGATTATTGTACTGATATTTCTGATACATAATTCTGATATTATTCTTCTTTCTGGTAATTTTTTCATGCAAGAGCATTATAGATGCCTGCCAAAACCTCCTCAAAATAATTTTGTCATACCCTTTTCTATATTTTTAATATAGTTTCGACAGTTTCAGCTTTCGTTATATCGAATGGATTTCGTCGTATCCCTTATTATGATTTTAATATAGTTTTATCTAAGTTTCAACTGTTATTAAGAGATTTCGTCTCTCATCTATAAAGAGCATCTTTTTTTACTTTCTCAACATTTCTTTCTATAAACCAGTTATCTATATCAAATAATTCTCTAAAATTTGATTAGTTTCTATCATTAAAATTAGTATATCTAAGATATCAATAATATGCAATTCTTGCAGATATATACCTACAAAGCTTTCTTGTAACTGATATACAAAGGGTCTCTAAAAGTTTACGCATACTTTTTTGTATAAATTTTAATAATATTTTATTAAGTAAACAAATGATCATCAAATAATAAATATTATTTTTAGAATAGTAAATTAAACTTGTATTAAGCTATTTATTATTTGATCGGGCTACCATTTTCATCTAAATATATCACTAACATCATAATATAATAAACATCGCAAACTTCGCAAAAATTGTAAACCTCACATGATTTATTTTATGCATTCATAATTTGAGATGACTGTGTGAATTTTCTCACACTAATTAAAAAGAATAAATAAACCAAAAAAAACAAAAAAATTTTTTAACCTTATCTTAAAAAAATGGGTAAAGGAAAAGATCTTACTGAATCCCAAAAAGACGCTATTCTTTATGGATATTAACTTGACCATTCATGCAGAAAAATTGCAGAAACTGTAGGATGTGGACCCTCTGTAGTTTCAGCTTGTATAAGAAGGTATAAAGCCACTTGGTCTACTGATACAAAGTCACATTCTGGGCAACCACGCCTTTTCACAACTTCACAGTCCAAGTCAGATGTTTTGGGGATATTTTTCTGCATAAGGATTAGGGCCAATTATCCCTTTAGTTAGTTCTGTAAATAGTGTAGTGTATCTCAAAACTATACGCAAGCATGTTATCCCTACTATGAAGCGATTTTTTCAAATGGAAATGGTATTTTTAAGAAGACAATGCTCCTTGTCACAAAAGCAAAATTGTTACAGAATTTCGTACAAAAAAAAATATCTAAACCCTTAAATAGTCTGCTCAAAGCCCTGATCTTAACCCAATTGAAAATCTATGAGACAAAATTAAAAAATCCTTTAAAGCCAAAAAGTAAAGCCTACTAACCTTTTCTCACTTGAACAACAAGTATGAAAGGCTTAGAAATCAATTACTTTCAAAAAGTATGCTTTAACAAATTCAGGCAGTAATAAATGCAAATGGTGGTCTGACCAAGTATTAAACCCTTAATAAAATATATTTTTTAATAGTCTAGGAACATTATTTATTATTTGTAAATTGCTTAATTTTTTAATAAAATTTTGAGTAAATTTGCACGAAAAAAGTGTGCATAAACTTTTAAAGACCCTCTGTATCATAAGAACAGTATATAATCATATTTCTAATTATTTTTCTATTAGGATGTTCAAAGGTTTTTGATAATTTCATACTATGTTATAACTCAATGAATTGATCAATCAGAGGAGCTAGATAGTGATTTAAATAATATAGAGATGGCTTTTTTGGACTCAAAATTAATGCTAATATTATTATATTAGAAGGTTTAAATCTTCCATTTTAGGTAAATTGCAAAAAATAGCATAAATTGCTTCAGTACTGTATTGAGAATTTTTAAAGGACTGAAACCAGTTCATACTGAGCATTATTCTAAGATAAGTATTAGATGTATCTGATTGAAAGAAATTTAAGCAATACTTATCATCAAATGATTTTTATATTCTTTTATTATAAATATCAGCAAGAATTTCTAGATTAGAAGGATAATTAATTCATTTTTGGCACATTTCTTCAAAATCTTTTTATTTGAATAGAAGATTCAGTTGGTGTTTTAAACTAACTATAGGAAATATTAGGGTTAGCTTTTTAATTACATCATTTTTTTATATGAACTTATTTATATAATAGAGTTTTATAAATATTTCTTTTACGACTCATTAAATGATTAAGAAAATCTTAAAATACTCTGAAACTAGTTGAAACTGACAGATTTGTTAAATATAACAAATAGGATATATATATTATTTATTATATTTTTATTATATTTATTATTATTATTATTTATTTTATATTTAATATAATTAGCATATCTGTTAGCTTTGTTATTATTGTCAATAGTATTATAACTACTATAGATTTTCTTTAATTGTAATTTTCTTATATAAAGGGCATAAAAATGCTTTAGAAAAAGAACAGATCCTAACATTATATTTAATATACATTGTCAACAGAGCAATTGATCAGTCATAATGAAGTCATGTAAATGACGCAGTATAACGATCTTCTAATTCAGAATTCTAAAAATACTGAGAATTCTGCGAATTCTAAAAATACAGAAGATCTATGTAATTCTGAAGATCTTTCAAATACTGATGATAATCATAATTTAACAAATTAAACGAAGTCTAAGAATATTTAATGTTATATGTATTTTTAATATTTTAAATTTTATTATTATTTTTATTATATTTTATATTTTTATTTTACGTATTATTCTCAATGTATTTATTTTACTTGTATTTTATTTTGCTAAATTAGTTAGTTTATAGCATAGTAAATAGTTAGCCATGACAAAAGAAATTTTATATAAATAGATAGACTTTTTGCTTATGTTGTAAATTAACTCTTTTG